ATGGCGTAAATACTGTAATAGTCCCCCACCCCCATAATGACGGTGCGGAGTGTTTCGTAGTTTCTAGCTTTAAACGAGCTTTTTCTCGACACCGCTTTATGCTACAATGCGCGCTTAGGTATCAAAAAAATAGCCCTCAATTTCAGCTATTTTTTCGATTTCAAACTTTTGATACCATTTCTTGAAAGTACGAGCGCTTTGAAAAAAAAAATGAAATACTAAAATACAAATGAAATACTTTTGCGACTACGCGACTGTACGAGGGCGGCTGGGGGACTCGTTACAGTATTTACGATAGGTTTTTATGCAAAAGAAATTTTGTTTTAATTTTTATAAACATTAAATTAAATCAAAATCAAAATCAAGATCAAAATCCCTTTTGATAATAAATTGATTTTGAAAAAAATAAGCACCATTATGATTTATAAAATCTCTACAACGTTACCTCAGCTTGCGGATCGCTTTAGAGCTCTTGAACTCTTGATTCTTTGATTCAAAGTAGTCAGCCATTTCAAATCTCGATCACTTGCGCATTCTTAAACTAGCAATTCGCAAGGAAATGTTGCATCGATTCGAAGAAGTGAAAATCAGCTGGTGACAGTCAGCCTGTGACAAGTCTGACCTCTATGACAAGTCTGGCCTCTATGGCGCATGCGGTAAGACTCTATGACAAGTCTGGCCTCTATGGCGCATGCGGTAAGACTCTATGACAAGTCTCTAGCTCCATCCTAGTTCCTCTAACTCCATACAAGAAGCTTTCGCTGTGTGAGCTGGCGCGTTGTCACGGAGAAAATTGCGGCTCGATGGATTTATTGGGTTGGGGAGAATGAGTCGGCGCCGAAAATCAAAGAAATTTCTAAAATTTATAGCAGACTTTGTCAAATGATATGCGTTTGATATCCGTAGAAGGGTAACGAATTCTCTACAAAATAATATTTAAAAGAGAACTCAAACAGCGCCTCAACTCAACAAAGGATCATTTTTTCACAAAATCGATAAACTGTCATCTAGAGTAAACGGTTGGAGGGATCTTCCTGAAAATTTGGCAACTTATGTAATTGAGTGTGCTCTATCTTTTTTATATAAATACAAAAGGAGGTTTATGTGGAAGAAACTCTATGACAACTGTTCAAGCAATGAGTCGGACTTTTTGTCATTTTGATTAGCTGTGTTTGGGAATCCATAAAATCCCAAAAAAGAAAAGCTTTGTGGAATCTCTCAAAAGCCATTTTGTAAAGAAATCGTGGACCATTTTGATTGAAACAAAACGTGTATTTAAAGAAGGTTTTATGGGTGCGAAAAGTTTCTTTAAATTTCGGCGCCGACTCATTCTCCCCAACCCAATAAATCCTTTTGACGCAAAATTTCGGTCAACCTTCTTGAGCTTTTGAATAAAACAACAAACAACAAAAAGTTGTTTTTTCGAGTTTTAATAATTCGAAATAAACAAGTTCATTGATATTTCATCAACAAGACAACAAGACAACAAAAATTCAAAAACAACAAGCTTTGGCACTTCATTTAACTCTTTTCTAACACACAGAAAAGAGGATTTGCTCTGATTTATGTTGTCATTTGAAAGCCTAAAGTTGGCTCGATGTTTTGAAAGTTTTGAAAGTTTTGAAAGTTTTGCTAAATCTCTTTTCTATATGTTTTTATAAGGGTTTGATTGTCTGATTTTGTAGTTTGTAGTTTCTAGTACAAACAACGGCTGAATCTTAATAAATTCGAGCTTCTTATATCTTTTTTTTTCTTCAAAATGTCTCGAGTTTTAGTCGCTCGTTGTCTCCAGAGCTCGACATTTGAAAAACAAATCGCTTTCATTTCCAGATCGACCATCGACGATGGGGCGCACAACAGCGCCGAATTCACAACGATCGCCAAAACCATCAGAGTCGACCAAAAACGCAAAGGTCATTGAAAAAGGAATAGTTGAAAATGAGCGTTTTTCAGCGTTTCACCACCGCTGCCACCGATACAACCAGAAGAGGGAAATCGCGGAGAAACGAGAGTTCGCTTTGAAATGGTGAGCACAACGGATCGACAGAGCCAAGAAGAAACGCCAAATCAGTCTTTGTCAAGTGCATCGATTCAGGAGAAACAAAGAAGTAGGTCTAGCTTTCTATAAAATGACTCAGCTAAAGAGCTACCGTAACCCAGATATTCAAATTTGCATAGTATGTAAAACTTTTCAGTTAAATCAGCGTAGTGCTATCCAGTTTAGAGAAATCTTCAAAAATCCGGCCTCAAATCAGTCTAGCTTTTTATAAAATGACTCAGCTAAACACCTACCGTAACCCAGATATTCAAATTTGCATAGTATGTAAAACTTTTCAGTTAAATCAGCGTAGTGCTATCCAGTTTAGCGAAATCTTCAAGAAACCGGCCTCAAATCAGTTTAGCTTTCTATAAAATGACTCAGCTATAGAGCTACCGTAACCCTAAATATTCAATCTGCATATTAGCGAGAAATTTTGAGATAAATTTGCACACAGCTATCCAGGATACCCAAATTTTGGTCGATCGTCTAAATAGAGCTATTTCAAGGGCTGCTCCTAGCGGTCCCTGAGAAATCTGCTGATAAACTCTGTTTCCATACATAACTTCCAAACAAAACTTTGAACCCCTATAACTTTTGATAGAGTGCTCCATAACAGAAACGGAAAACAGTTTCGGAATCAGCGTGTAATTCTGCGTTCGATGATATATGGCAAATATCCATTTTGTCCACCAAGTCCATTTGAAATCCCCATTGTTAGCTATCAGCCATTTATTCGTTCAAAGCTTACTGCCATCTTCTAGGCAATGTTCGCGACGATCCGATCATCACACCAATGCTTGAGAAATATGACACAATCGCTGAAGAAGACTCGTTAGGCGGATTGCCGAGTAGTCGAGCAACAAATCGGGTGAGGATGGTCTTTGGGCTCTTCGCTTTTAGCTGGTTGATCGATAGCTGATCGATCAATAGCTGGTCGATCGATAGCTGCTCCATCGATAGCTGCTCGATCGATAGCTAGTCCAACGATAGTTGATCGATCGATAGCTGGTCGATCGATAGCTGGTCCATCGATAGCTAGTCCATCGATAGCTGCTCGATCGATAGCTGGTCGAAACTCCTGAGATTTACAGTATTTTAAGACCTTTTTTGCTTAATGTTTCTCTTAGTTGGAGTGCACAAGAGTGTTTTCGAATGTTTTCTTCAACAAAATTTCATTTCAGAAAAACGAGGCTCAGGATTTGCGCGATTTGCACTCGACCCGAATGCAGAGGTTTGAGAACTCTTTTTTCTATAATTCTTTTAATTCTAGATACCATCGTCAAACGACGATGACGATGAGCTTTGATGTCGCACCGAAAGGTGATTTGTTTCCGAGAAATGAAAGCGACAAGAAAAAGCGAATCGAATCACCGTGGGGAAAGGATCTTCTGCAATCGTTGCCGAAACGGAAACGCTCGAGGCGTCGAATCTTTCAAACAATCAAAATGCCTACGATTGATGATTAAGAGTTCTCGATTTGAATAAATCTTTAAGAACTCCGAAAAACAACATTTCTTACACTAGCGCCATCAAAAAAAAGATAAAAATCAACTCCAAAATCAAAATAAAACTGACCACAGCTTTTTTTTGCTTGAAATCTTAATAAAATCTGGTCTTTCCTTTACTTTTAAACATTCTGGAAGTCACAAGAAACAATCTAACTTTTGGATGCAGAAAAATTAGCATTTAAATTTTTCCATTCTTATGCTTGAAACAATTCTATTTACGATTACGATTGAGCTAATACGATTGAACTAAAGCCAGCTCAAATCCATTTCTTGCCTTGCCTGGCTTAGCTCTAAGACTAATCCACAAGCTAAATCTCTTGGTTCACGCTTCGAGGCTACTCCCTAGAGCTATCGCACCTTAGCATCACCCCATTAGAAGTTTAAAAAAAATTTTTTAACGACAGATCAAAAAAAATTAGTAACAATCGTGATGTGCGTTCCAACTAAGAGAAAAAACAACAAAATTATAGATTCTGTCTTCATAAAAAGAAGTTATCGCACCGAACTCCAGCCGGGAACACCAATTCTGTTCAAATGCGATTTTTTGGACTCAAACCGAACTAAAATCAATGACTTAGATTGCCTGGTTTAGCTGTAGGCTGTAGGCTGTAGACTGTAAGCTGTAAGCTGTAAGCTGTAAAGCTAAATCTCTTGGTTCACGTTCCCAGGCAAGCTGCTGAGCTGGCACACCTTAAAAGAGAATGCTGCAAAATGGCCGTAGCAGATTTTGATGCCGTTGAGATGCAAACTCCGGGAGAATTTACCATCACGCTCATTTACCAGCCATCTGGTCACATTTCGAAGGTCAGAAAAAAGCCTTTATAAGCCCGCATCCCGAGTAGATTTCCCGAGTAGACACCCAAATTTTGGACACGTTTTTCTCGCTTGTTTTTGAATATGGACAAAAACTGAATCCAGCATCGGATTCACCGTGTAGTAGTATATAAAAAGTTGATGCTAGACCACCATTTTGCCCATTTCCCAATTTTTTCAATTTACACCACTTTTTGGCTATTTTTATGCAATTTTTAAGCAAAAACCATACCTAATTCACCAAAAACCTGTCATTTTTGAAAAAAGTGATTTTGGACCATTTGGGAAGAACTTGGTCCAGACCATTTTGCCCACTTCCCATTTTTACCCAAAAGCAGTAAAACAGCATATATTTTAACAATTTTTGAACATTTTACTTATTATTAAATGAATACTACTAATTTCCGAAAAAATCTGGCTGCGCTAACCAATCTAGACCTCTTAAACCTTGTAAAACAACTAAAAATCAAAGACTTCCGCAGTGTTTTCATGCGAGACACTTTACCGGAAAAGATACTATCAAGAGAAGTTGGGATTGTAAATTTAGATTCTACTTCAGGAAGTGGTACACATTGGGTGTGTTACTCCAAAAATCAATGTAAACTTTATTATTTTGACTCATTTGGATTAGATCCTCATTTCCGAAGTTGATTTGAGCGCTTTTTGCAGAAAAAGCTCGAGTCTCTCGCAATAGAATCTCGATCATAGTCATGCCAGTTCCATCCACCGCCCGTATTTAATCCGCAGATCTTTAATAATAAGAGCCTCATTTCAGTTTCTCCAGAAAAACCTCCCAGGTGTGAGGACCACCCACGTTTCCACCAAAGAAATCATCTTTCGAGCCATCAGTCCAGTTTCCCGTTCCAAGAGTCCCATTTCCACGGTAACCAATCCAATGAAAATCCGTAGCTAGTCTCACTAAATCTTTTTAAAAACTAGACTAATTTTTTTTCTTGCATAGGAAAAGATTCTCGTCGTTGCTGTGAATCGAGGCCAAATGAGCCCCGAGTTTCTGACATTCTTGTTCAGCTTCGACAAACGAGTAGAGCGCATAACTGCCGTTGGTGTGGTAAGTGGAGTTCTAAAACTATTACCATCTATTACTGGTTAGCTGCCTTCTTTTTCGTACCTGTCTATAATAGCAATGGTCCGTGTAATAAGTCCAGTTTTGGGGGCATTTGAGCTCTGAAACTTTGAATGAACTGTGAATAGGAACGGTCTCCATACGGTTTGCTTCGCTGATGGTACAAAGAACAGGAGCATTAGCACCACAACGAGAGGAAAACCACTGTCCTGTACCTCCATACATTTTTGCACAAGTCGCATTATTTGTGTTATTAGGCTCATCTAAAATAAACAAGGCAAACAGCGGATAATAATAAATAATGTTTTTGATATAATATAAAAAATAGCACTTACAAAGCTCGTTTTTCTTGTTAGTTTCTGAGAAAACGCGACAAAAGGTCTAATTTCAAACCAAAAACACTTGGAAAAGTATAATCAACTAAAAACGACCGAAATTCTAGAAGTTTAGAGCTAAAATCTTTTAGAAGCTAACTAGAGAGAGACTTTAGAAATGTATTGTAACTGACTTGAAGCCCAATTTTGATAGCCCAACGGCGTTCCATCGGCGTATGTCCACGATCCGTTCATCCTCTTCTCGACTCCAATAAACGAAGATAAAGGATTTCCCGATATACCTAAACAATAACTTACCTTATTTCAATGTTTTCTAGCAACTTTCTGGCAACAATGATCGCATAAAGGCATTTTCGTAAGCACTGAGAATTTTCGCCGGAATCCCGCCAAGATTTGTGCAATAGTTGAAAGCATTATCGTACCAAAGTCCCCCTAATATAGTATTATTAAAAGTTTAATGTGCTTATTCACAAAGTTTTGTACCTTTATTTATTATATAGAGACAAGTATTCTCAGATGGAATCTGCTGCGTTCCTCCTGGACAAGTGAATAGAGAAACTTCTAGAAACAGGCTCCCAAAAATCAATAATAGACGGAAGAAAAACATTTTTTTGAATGTTTCCCTTATCAAGAATGCTCTCTTATTCTCTTTATCGCTAAAATATATGAGTAAGAGAAAAGAGAAAAAAAGTAAGAATTCCAAAGGGTTTTGTAGAGTCGCAAGCATCAAGATTCCATTAATCTTTTGCTCCTTCCTCGATCAACCTCTAAACTAACAATAAAAACTTCTAAGATTATCTGATGCTTATCAACCGTGATTATATGCTTATCAACCATGATTTGATTACAATTTCATCACCTACAAATCTGCGTTTCTGCAATGCACTCACCAGACGCGTCACTCCCCCCGGTTCACCCTTTGATCGAATCGAATACCGATAAATCACACCGCGGCGTGAGAAAAAGGAGAACGTTCCATTTCTCTCTCAAATGTATCGCATTTTCTCTAAAAATTTTCGAAAAATTTCTTTATTTTTTCACAAATTTTTTGCATAAATTATCCTCATTGTCACTTATAACTCACTTCAAATTTGATATTTTTTCAGACAAGTGCTATTGTTGTATTCGAGAATGAGTGGAACCCTTCCAACTTCCATGGAAATAGATGATGTGGAGAAGAACGATTATAAAAATAACGCTGAGCTCCTTGTGAAGGAACAAGAACCCTTACGAAATAAAGTGGATGATGAAAAATTAGAGGCTTTGAAGCGAAAGATTAGTTTTCATTAATTTAGAATACATCATTAATTTATTTTCAGGCTGACATGCTCAAGTTAAAAGCCGAAAATGCTCAGAAAGATTACGAAAACGAGAAGAAATTAATTGAAAAGCGAAAAAATTTACGAAATGATAGATCAAAGGTGGGTCTATTTTCAATAATGATTTTTATTATGGTAATTCTTTTAGGCTAAACAATCGATAAAAAAGAAGCGTATGAATTTAAAACAATTACAACGCTCGGAGAGAGATCGGAAAACGAAAGCAAGAGATGACGCAGCTGATAAAAGAGAGCAAGAACTGTATTAATATTATTATTATTATTATTATTATTATTATTATTATTATTATTATTATTATTATTATTATTATTATTATTATTATTATTATTATTATTATTATTATTATTATTTTATTTTATCTTTATTTGTTGTTGTTATAAATTGACAATGATAAATATATTTAATACAAAGCGTATCCCAAAAATGACTAAGGTTACGAAGTCGAATCTAAAAGTCTTTTCAAGATAAAGCAGAAAATATTTTAGAAAAAACTTATTACAACCCCCAAACAGGATTTCTTCTAATCCCAAACAGGACAAACTCTTTAAAAGTCTTGGAATTAATCATTTTTCAACTTATTCAGATAAGAAAGCATCCATTGTTGAAAGATTTAATAGGACTTTAAAGGAGAAAATGTGGAAAATTTTTACTTTAAATGGGAATCATAAATGGATAGACACCCTTGATGATCTAATTGAAGGTTACAATAATCATTACCATACTAGTATTAAAATGACCCCAAAAGAAGCATCTAATCCAGAAATGAGTTCTCTTGTTTATACAAATTTATTTCCACCAAACGTAGAAAAAGAAAAAATAACTCCCAAATTCAAGGTAGGTGACTCTGTTAGAATCACGAAATATAAATCTGTTTTCGCGAAGGGGTATCTTCCGAACTGGACTACTGAGATCTTCAAAATTAGTAAAGTTAATCCAACTTCACCAATAACGTATGACTTAGTAGGTCTTGGAGATGAAGAAATTACAGGTAAGTTTTATGAAGAAGAACTGGCTATTTTCAATAACATCAAAGAAGAGTACCGAATCGAGAAAATAATTAAACGTAGAACAAGAAAAGGAATTAAAGAAATCTTTGTTAAATGGTATGGATATCCTGAAAAGTTCAATTCTTGGATTCCAGAATTAAATTTGAAGTCATAATTCCTTTCAAAAACCAAAAAACACCTTGCAATTAGACACTAACGACTTTAATTCGATTATCTTTCACTTCAACAATATTCTCACTCAAAATTAAGCGATAGCATTTAGTATTTTGAACAATATTTTTACTAAAACTTGCCTTTATCGTAACATCAGGCCTACTTTGAATAATTCTCTCATTTTGCTTAGAAACATCAAAAACTAACAATGGATAATAGTAATAATATACATCTTCCTCCATGAAAATGTAATCTTTGACTGATTCGTAATAACTATTTCTGAATTCTTTAGCGAAATTGTATTGCTGAACTGCATTAAATTTATCAAAGTCAAACTTTAGACATTCATAAGGATAACGCTCAGAGTTTAGTTCAACATAAATTTCTTCTAATCCACAATTGTCAAACTTGGCAGCATTTAAATAATTGTTATCTCTAGCAGTTTGAAAAGAAATAACAAGGTATTTTATTTTATCATATTTTGTTCCAAGTTTCCAAGTAAATTCACGATTACCATTTGGAATGTTATAACTCTCAAATTGTCTTGAAATAAAAGGCATCTGGAGAAGTTTATTACTTTCAAATGTATTTAATAATTTATTTTGCATCTCAAGACTAGGCACAATTTTTGGAATAATCCATTGTAATTTATTTATTGTCATCTTTGCGGTGAATTCAGCAGGATCTGTAGAAACAATTGAATTTTTGTTTTCAGGCGATCTGTAAAGACTTAGAGTGTGTTTTCTTCCATAGATTATTCTGTTGTAACATTCTGCGAATCCAAAAACGTGTGCCAATGGAATACAAAACGTAAGACCCCCTTTTCTATTCTTGGTGTATTTGTTAATTTTAAAAGTAATAATATCTTTCGTTTCTAGAATCCCACCAAAAGTATTTTGTTTGTTCATCGTCGAAGAATACGTCAAAAGTCCTTTCATCAAACTAGCTCTTCCAGGATCTATAATATTTTCAACTTGCATCCCATCCATACTATAAGTTGCTCTGTCAAATAGAAACATTGGAGCATTATTAGTCAATGAGACTTCATCATCGTCAGCTAATGCAGTACCATCAATTTTAGTTAAACTTGCTTCTAAATAGATATAGGATTTGTGTAATAATAGATACTGATTACAAGTTTCTATAATAAAATTAATTTCTCCATGTTGATTCAAGCTCGAACCTGATGAAGGAAATATGCTAATCAGATTCTCTTTCTGAATAGATGTATCGCTCACAATAGGATTGTCAACAATGAGTATTCTATCAACTGCTTCTGCCATTTTCACAAGACTTTTAATTTATTTAGAATATTTTTTTCTAATATTAAATACAAAAGTTATTTATTCGAAATTATTATCAAGTCAATATTTAGAAGTCAAGATTGCATGAATCTATTGGAATTTTACTTTTTCTATGCATTTGCCTTCTATGATGTACTTGCTAAGAGTATCATTTGTACAGAAAATTCTCCAGTTCAGTACTTTAGATTACCGAAATTACACAAATGTAATTACCACAGACAACTATCACCACAAGCAGAAGTTGTTAAGTATCAAGTTTTTAAACCCAACATCATTGAGTATGCTTCAGAAGGAAAATTGTGTAAAAAATTAATTAGTGAAGTATCAATGTACACCGATTTTTCTGGATATGAGCATCTAGTAGAAAAGGAATTAAACCATCATTCAATCACATTAGCTGAATGCAGAGAAATGATTGCATCAAAGAAATGTGAATACGGTACACTTGTTAATTCTGGAACTTCTGGTTTTTGGAGCACAAATAATAAAGTTGAACTAGATTATCCTAATAGATTCACTAGTTTGTTCTCACCTAAAAGATATTATAAAGAGAATTGTGTTATTATTGAAACGAAGGTGTATTCTCACTTCAATCAAAGTCGCCCAACAAATGTTCTAGTTGACATGAAGAATTGTAAGTATCAAGATGGTTCTTGTGAAATAAAGAAAAATGAAATTATTGTTTGGAATGTTAACAAAGACCAGAAGTGTCAATATATTTCAATTGGAAATCTAGATGGTGTTTACAATAATGGTTTATGGATTAATAGTCAAAATCAGATAGCTTTAAGTTTTACATCCAACATAAGAATAAAAGATTGTAATCTTGACTTATTGCTTAGTGATGAAGGTTTTGCTATTCTAAAGAAAACAAAAGCTGCCAACTATCAAATACCACAACCTTTAATCCAAACAACAACAACAAGTCTTAAAGAAATTAGTATGAATCCTCAAAAATATAATAATGAAAACAAAGAATATTATGAACGACAACGTGCTCAACAAGAAGAAATTAGACAACAACGTGAGCAATACGAAGCAACAATTAAAGAATTTACACAACGGCGAGACGAAAAAATAAAAAGAAAGCAAGAATTTGAGCAAAAAAGACAAGAAAAACTTTTGAGACAAGAAAGAGAACGACTGTCGAGTTTAAATGCTAATTCTAATGGCAATCGAACAAAAAGGGATACCAGCGTAGCCGGCTCCAAAGGAGTTGCCAACGAAGTCGGCTCTAACGGGGATACGTCTTCAACGCCCCAAAGGGATACCAACGAAGAATATTATGAAGATTGTGAATGTGATGAAGAAGTAGCAAACACTTCACAAGAAAGAATTGAGAAAGATGAAGAATTACCACAACTACCCACATCCAATCAATACTTAAAAACTAAACATGATTGTGATGTTCTACCAAATTATGGTGAATTTATTAAAATTCGAGAAGCCTGTAATAATTTTCCAAGTTACACTGAATACATTGCCCGGATTGAGAAATATGTACTTGAAAGAAGGAGTCTAAATAGAACAAATAAAACTAGATCTAAAAGGGAGCTGTACTCAGACTTTCAAACAGCAGGAGAATTTCAATATCTAGAAAACAAATCGAATAATCTACTACGACATACAACTGAAGTGTGATATCTTCAACGAGCAGTCAGAGATTCTTGAAGGTATTCTCAGAGAAAACCCTAGAAGATACATTCAAAAACAGTTAAATCATTCAGCAGTAAGAGTCAAAGTGCTTTCTGATAATGAAAAAAATTCCTTGGGAGTAGTTCAAGTAACATTCTGTAAAGAACTTGATGACTCTGAGATTGAATTTATCGATCTTACTCATTTTGATGGTTACAAATCTAGTTTAGCTCTTACACAAGGTCAAATTCCCATTAGAGTAAAAAAGTTTGGAGACAAGATTTGGTATTACAAAAATGATAACTCTGGGGGAATAATTTCTAGTGAAATTCTTATGCATCCTAAATTTCAACCTAAACAAGATTGCTCTCAAATAGGACAACAAGAAAATTGTGTTGCAAATCTTAAGAGCTTTGAGGAGTTCAATCTAAATTTCTTAGATGATAAAGTAATCTTTCATGAACACATTCTGTTTGATACAAAAACTAATATTGAAGAAGAGTTGATCAATGAGATTCGTGAAAAAGCTGATATATCCATTGAATTACATTCCAATAGTCAAGATTCTATGATTCCTCATGAAATATTGGATGATGTGTCATCTATTTTTGAGAAGTATTACATAAGAATTTGGAGAATTTATGTAACTATTGGTGTCACTCTTTTTTACATCTTCATTATTAGATCTTTTTGGATAGTTCTATCTCCAAAAACATTCTTTAATTCAAGGAAAGCTAAAGGATTCTTTGATAGAAAACATAAACGAAGAAATAAAGATTATGAGGGTGTTGAACTGCAAGAAACAAGCACTTCTAGACCTTTTGAATTGGTAAGCCATCCTTCTATAAGATCCCTTGTTGTAGATTAGTAGTTCATTGCTTTATTTACTTTTTATCTTTACATTTATAAAATTAATATCCTATATAAATAAAAATAATAAGTGTTATACAGAATGAGATTTTTTAGTTCTGGAGAAAACTCAAAATATGTTATTGTTAGCCCGAAAGAAAAAGATAAAATAGAATTAGTAAACACTTCTGAAGAAAATAAAAAGAAACAAGATTCTAAAAAAGAAGAAAAAACAGGTGGAACTATACATCCAATACAATGTAATAATCCCAACAAATTGAATAAAAAGAATGCAG